GCCTGATCCACCGCCCACCTCTTCCCGTCTTCGAGCGCGACTAATATAAGACATATTTACGATTTCTACATTGGTGGCCTGTTCACCCAGAGCATCCGGAGCTCTGCACCGTGGAGCCTAGCAACCTCCACGAGACCGTCTGTGTTGTGTCTGTCTGTAACTGCAACTTAATCAAGCTTTCCAGCCTACACCATTGCCATCTCAGTGTAAGTAAACAATCTTTTAAACTACCGATACGCGTCCGTGCCTAATTCCAGAGCGAAGGCCTTCCCTCTCCACCCCCGCGTGCCCGGGCTGCTGGCCACAGCCCGCGTGCAGCGCAAAAAAGGGCTCAGGGTGCTCCCGGCCCGCACAGCTATAAGCTAAATATTGTGCAGGAACCATAAATTATTGAACTCCCAAAGTCTTCCAAGAAAGAAAAAGTGGGAGTTGTGGTAAAAATTAACCAGAAGTTTTCCCCACCTCCATGGGCTGCTGGAATGCAAGAGGGAAGGATACAATAGCTAATTAGACTTACGTGCCATCTATTTTTTCTATTCCATGGTAGAATTTGATGCTGTCTGATGTGTTCCTAAGATTATAACACTTCTCATCAATAAAATGGGCTGAGCTTTTATCAGAGAGATCTCTCTCCAGCGCATGTTGAGCATCTCTGTTGATACTGCAAAGAACAAATTATCTGAAAATAAAATCTGTCTTTCATCAGCATTTACTTTTGCACCAACTCACTGGTTCCTTTCATCCCAGTTCCTTAAGGCCTGACTTCTGCATGCTTAATGATACAATCCCTTGATATTCTGCTCAGTGGCACATAGACTACATGCTTACTGCATAACCATTGAGTTATAGAGCGTTCAGAGAACGAGCAGCTCCAGGAGTTGCTCCCAGCTCACAACTTAACCTCTGGGCTAGGGACAGAAATTACACATAAAGTGATTGGAAACCAGTTCAAATCTGTAACACAACAGAAGTTTAGTGCCCATAAACTGCTTTCAAAATGGTTAAAACCAGTTTAAGATAAACCTGGATGGATGTAGTATCAAACTTAACTGATTTAGGTTAAATCAATTATTTGAAATTCTGTCCCAGATCCCTTCCAAATTCAAGTTAACTCACAGTCCGCCAGCATCCCAGGATGTTTTGCACCTCTCCTACAAACCCCTCTTTGCAGGGTGAGTGGGCTAGCTTGGCACAAGCTGTCTGATCCAGTCAAGCAGGGAGGTGCCTATAGTGATTCTTTCTGTGATTCTATCATTATAGCCTCAGGTTTCATCTCCCTTTGATGTGTTATTGTAGGGGAAAACATTAGGGGTGTGCAAAGTGGGCCCTATTCGATTTGGATTCGGATTCAGACTGAATCAGGGACAGTGATTCAATTTGTTAATTTGGGTCACTGTCCCTGATTCAATTCATTTGAATCCAAATCTGAAGATTAGATGCTGATTCAGAGAATCAGCGATTCGGACATAGACACAGCTTTAAAAGTTTTTTTTCTACATACCTTGAGGTACCAGTGCGGCTTGTGATCGCTGCAATGCTGGGGCACATGGAGCGTCCCACAGGAGCATGGGGGGGGGTGGCCCTCCATGTGTTCAACAGTGAACCCGGAAGTACACACTGGAGGCCCCTCTCCCCACCCCCACCGGCTCAGTGATCAGCCGCAGGGGGACCCCGGGTGCCCCACCACAGACCCAGGAGGCACCAGTTGCCAAGCTGGCAGGGCGTGGGGGGGAGCCCCCTCTGTGCACTCCCCGGCAGACCTGGAAGTGGACCGGAAGTGCTTCTGGTCCACTTCCAGGTCTGCTGCCAAGCGCACTGGGGAGCCCCCCGTGTGTCTGTGGGACACTCCATGTACCCCAGCATTGCGGCATTCACAAGCCACCTGTTACCTAGAGGTATGTAGAAAAAACATTTAAAGCTGTGTCTATGTCCAAATCTATATCTGAATTGCCGAATCTTTCCGAATCTCTCCAAATTGATTTGGAGGGTTCCAATTCAATTCGTAGAGATTAAAGGGTCCTCTGATTCAATTTGGATTCAGAGATTCAGCCACTGAATTGGGCCGAATCTCTGCCAAATCGACTCAGGGACTGAAGCTTTGCATAGCCCTAGAAAACATACACATTAATTTTTCATCCCTGGCAGTCCTGAGTAGTTAAAGGAAATGACTGATTGGATAACCTTCTAATCAGTATGAATTATTCTAGAATAGTTTATTAAAATATCTTAATACACTAAAATAATTATATGCCATTGCAACAAAACTCCCATAAAATTTGATTCATCAATATATTTAAATAAATCCATATTAATTTAATAATAATTTACCGAGCTTTCATATACATGAAGATCTATTTAGATCAAAGGTTCATTAATAATTAATTTCCCCTTTGAATTGAGTATAGTAATTAAAAATGTAATTAATAATTTTACTGCAATATAGCAGGCATGTTTGCATAGTTTAGCCATAATACTTATGATTCTCATTTTAAATAGGGGAGTTCAGGTTCTGTGTGACTTTTGAAACTAAGTTACATTCTTGTTCAAAGGTTTCATAGTCTCGTAGTTGTTAGGGGTTGGAAGGGACCTTACCGATCATCAGGTCCAGCCCCCCTGCACTTGGACAGGAAAGACCGCTGGGATCAGACAACCCCAGCAAGATGGGCATCAAGATGCCTCAAGGGTCAGCTCACAGAAAATCTACCATTTTTTTTGCATATAACACATGCCTTTTCCCAAAACTTAGCTGCTGGAAATTGGGATGTACATTATAAGCAATGAAATATGGTAATAACAGTTTCTGTATCTATCCAGGGTTGGGGAGACTGAAAGTGATGCACCACAAGGAGAAGCAAGTGAGCATGCTGGTCTCTCTAGTTACTAATACTTGCCAGTATTTTCAAGGAAAAATCCATTTTTCTTCATTCTGTCTCTCTCAGACCAGGTTGTACCTGATTCTGGGATGTGTTGTATAAGAGAAAATATGGTGTTTACTACCTTGGGGCTGTTACTGTGTGCCATACAAAGAACTCTGATCACACAGAATGCTTTCATGGGAGTTCCATTTGTGGCATTTTCAGACTTAGACCTTCAGTTATTCTACCGATGTGGTGCCAGTCTCTCCAAGCTTTTAAATCTTGTAACTGAACAGAAATACTAAACTGTTTCTTTATATCTGTGAATACATCATTGCATAAATGTAACACTTCTTATAAGCAGACAAGGTTCCTTGGGTGAATTTGATATCTTTTATTAGACCAACCCAAATAGTTGGAGAATAGTTATTAAGCAAGCTTTCGAGTTCAAAAACCCTTCGTCAGGCTAAGGCAGTTGGTGTGTGCTCTTCTGCTGAAACTTCCTTAGCCTGATGAAGGGTTTTTGAACTCGAAAGTTCTGCCTATGTCCTTAGACCAACACCAAATAGTTGGAGAATAGTTATTAAGCAAGCTTTCGGGTTCAAAAACCCTTCGACACTTCTTATAAGGCAGGCAATAAAGATCTATGTCTTACTTGCTTTCTTGCATGCAGAGAATAGCTTCTGAAGAGGCTTGCAAGTCTGGTGACAGTGTAGAAGACAGATCAAAAGGGAGAAGGGATGTTTTGGGGGAGTGCTCAGGGAGAAGGGATAGATCCTCTTTGATCAGATGGCACATCAGAACTTATGGCTTAGTCTTGCGTGGTACTGGGCACATGCCTCCTCTTATTACCTAGAAATGGAGGTGGAGACACCCCAGCAGCTGGCACAATAATAAGACTCTTATTTTGCCTTTGCTATGTTCATTCTGGCTTAAAGATATTGACTAATGCTGAATTTAGTTTTCTCCTGTCTAAAAGAGGCTTTTAATTAAAATAGTTACCCCAGTTGTTGGTCAATTCTTTCTGCAAGTTTTCTCATTCTTTCTTGACAAGATTTGAACATATCAACCTCCTATAACAGAAAATGCCCAACTGTCAATACTTTCATTACACAGAATGTGCTCCAGTGGATTAAATATTATTATTCTGCATAAAATACAGACTGACATATGCCATTCTGTGCCCCACTTAAAGAAGGCACTTTTCATTTCCTGGTATTTCTTCTGTGCAATAAAGGCAACCATTAAAGAGAAAATAAGTTTTTAAGTAGCTTTTTCATAATATATTGAGTATATGAGTACAGCTGAGTGGATGTGGTCCCTCTAATAAATAAGATCAAATTGTGTTTGATTTAGACATGCTAGAGGCCTTTCAGACCTAAGTTAGCATAGTTTCCCTAGCTACTTATATGTCTCCAAATTTAAAAAAAATAAAACAAACTTGTTAAAAGTAGACTAAGTTAAATCTTGCTGACACTACAAACTCCTTAAGAAGCTGTAAGGTAACTTTCTTCAAAATACGTAGCAAATATTTAGCTAAGAAATTGGAAGTCAAGTGTCTACTTAACTTCATACAAAAAGACTCAAAGAAACCACAGTGGAAACTACATAAACTGCAGTCATGGTCTCCCAAACAACCTTAACTGTGCCTTTATGTTGCTACATCTGAATGTAGCCCTGATGGGTAGCAGGTTTCTCTCCATATTAGTCAGTGGGTGCCTACAGATGTTTAGGGGATCTGCTCAAACTCATGGTGTTTTATACAAAGCGCCATGAGTTAAAGCAATCCACTGCCCACCTCGTGGGGGCACTCCATCAGCCTCCAAGGAGACTGGTGGAACTGCCCCTCCCCGGCCCTGCTCCCCACCCCTCAGCTCTGGGATTGTCAGCTGGGAAGGGCTGGGGAGAGGAAGGGTGCAGCAGGGAGCTGCTAGCTGGGTTTGGTCTGGCTGTGCTGGAGGGGGATGGAGCAGGGTGGAACAGACCCCCTCACCTTGGGCCCTCCCCACAGCTACCCTGACAGGGGTATTGTGGGGAATCAGGCTCAGCCTCTGAGGTGAGGGGACTCTGTTCCACCCTACCCCCACTCCAGCTCTTGCCAGGCCAAGTCCAACCAGCATCTGCCTGCTGCTCCCTACCTTTCCCCTCTCCCTCCCTCCCCCACTGACAGCCTTGCAAAGCATGGAAAAAATAACCCTGGAGGGAACACAAGTTTTCTAAGACACTCTGCTGTAGAGCACCTTTGTCTAATACCTCATTTGACAAGGGTTAATTTTTTGGCCATTTTAAAAGCAGTCATGTGTTATGTTATAAAGTGTTTCCAGGGGCCTGATCATGTAAAAATTGTAACTTGTGCACACAAGTAATAGGCAGTGGAAGGTCCAGGCTAACAGGGCTTAGCCCCCACAAATGCAGGGCAGCAGTGGCAGCACAAAGGACCACAGGGCAGGCCAAACATGGGCTCTGGGTGGCTGCAGCAGGAGACATGCACAGACAAAGACACGCAGCCGCAGCCTGCATACAGTCCGGCAGCGGCAGGCACAGTGTGTTGCGCAGCTCCTGAGGCAGCAGCAGTGAGGTGCAGAGCCCCAACCTGCAATGGCAGCCTGCCTCCCTGCCGCAGCCAGATCTGGGGGGCACATGTCCTCCATGCCTCCCCCAAGGTGCGTGCCTCAGCAGGAGTCCCTCCCCACCCCTGGATGACCTGCCTGAGCTCTGATCATCCTACAACCCACCCTGGGGCCCCATTCATCCCAGACCCTGCCCCTGCTCCTGCCTCTGCCCCGCTCCCTCCCTCACTGTGGGCACCTCAATCTGACCCTGCCCATGCCCCTTCCCTCCCCCATGCCCCTTCCCCTCCACAGACTTACCCTCTGGGCAGTGTGTGTGTGTGTAGTCAGCCCCCCAGGTAGTGTGTGTGTGTGTGTGTGTGTGTGTGTAGTCAGCCCCCCAGGTAGTGTGTGTGTGTAGTCAGCCCCCCAGATAATATTTTCTCCCTCCATCTATGTGCAAGCACCCAGTTAAGCAAGGAGAAAATATAAAGATGCCACCTAGGCCAAAGCTATCTTCCTGGTTGATAGCTCCATAACCAAAGCATCACCTGCATGAAGTTTTCTTAGCTACTGAGGCAAAAAAGAGGCGGTATCCTTTTTTTGTAGTATCCCAATTTTTCACCCTCCACAATCTCTGCTGTGGTCACCTACCATGGCTCATTTACATTAGCTGCCTCTGAAACTCCATCCTCTCTTGCAGACTTTGAACTAACTTAGCCCAATTATTCAACTAGCCTAAGACTTAAGCATTCTGTAAAAATGACTAAACAGTGGCCACTGTGTACCACTTAGAGTTCATTCCTAACATTTGTGGGTTTCCCACATATCCAATAAACTTCTTTCAAATATTTTTGCCTAGGTATTTCTTTATTTTATTTTAAAGGGTGAAGAATTCAGAAATTGCAATGCTTCATCCTATTTTCTTTCTTTGGAAATAACCTCTCCTTGGACCAACTATTCATGTTGCAAGATATTAGAAAATAATTTTTGTACTGTAGGCTCTCATGTTTTCTGGGTTTTTATCCCTCATAGTCAAGTGTTAGCTTTTTTCAGTGAATTTCTCTAAAATGTTAGAAGTAACTCACACTCCCTTCGATTTTTTTTTTTTCCCCCTTTCTCTCTTGCAGCTGAGCTCAGGGGGAAACAGCTTCAACATTTCTATCCTAATAAAAATAAAGCCAGTTTAAATATTTTCTGACAGATTCATTCACAAAATAATACGTCTTACCACACCTTTATGAGGTTCTTTTCTACATCATCATGAACCAAGTCAATGCCCATCCGCTTCTCTCGGTTATATAAGCATTCAAGGGCTATCTGCAAGCAAATAAGAGGAAACCTTGCAATGAACTCCATATTGCAGTATAAAGTGAGCCTTTAACTTACTGCTAAAGGGATAGATGAAATAATGGTTAATAAGTGAATCTCTGATAAATGTGAAACAGAATTGTACTCGGTCCTTTGGTGTAGTTTCATTTTATATAAATGGATCAGTGTCTCTGAGTCACATTCATATCTGTTGATATATATTTTTAAGGGTAAACTACAGTCATAATGTCTGCCATATAATCAGTTTCATATTAATGAGATGGACCAGAGCCAAAGCTCACATCTCAGTAGGTCTGAGCTGTGGAGTAATGTTAATCTGGATCCACAGGTCCCTATCTGGCCTTGCATCTACGATAATCTGTTCAAAAGCCCTGAGACAAATACCCCCATAGCCCAAACTTGGAAATTTGATACCTGTTTAGCTTAATGTGTGACCTATACATAATGAGAGTCATCAAATAAAAATTCAGATCAGGATCTAAGCCTCTAAGCCTCAGACCTATTTTTATTTTTATTGCTGAATCTGCTAGTCTTGAACAAAAATAGTGGACAAAATAGTACTAGAAGACTGAGGCTGCCCAGGCTGGCAATGGTGGTATGGATGGCTACAGGGGCTGGGCCAGCTTGGCAGCTAGACCCACGGTGGCAGGGGCAGTTTTTCATGTACCCCCTCTAATTGTCCCCTGGGTTTGGTTTCCCAGTTGACCACCACTCATTACTCTACTGCTAAATGACACAAAACTTCTCGAAAAAATCTTTCCATGAAGGGAAGGTATCTACCTTTCATAGCACAATAGGTAGCACAGGCAGAGATCAGCAGAGTGAATGTTATTGGGTAAGGCTGTGATCCTGACTTTTGATTTCTATTTAATTGCATGCAAGTGTTTCTGATAAAAATAACTTTCTTTCATAAAGAAAATATTCCAGACATGTCTGCGATTTCCTGTGGTTTTGGTGTTTGCTGCCATCCATTCCTGAATAGTACAAGTGCAATCCCATGTTAATATAGGGGGTTTTTCAGTTGGAATTAGCTTGAATAATAAACTTCCACACAGTGTGGAAATTCAGGATGAAGCTAGAACTTCTCCATAATAATGGGTGCTACATCTTCCTGGAGGAATTTGTATAGTTTACTCAGTCACTCACTGCCCTGAGGTCCTGTGCTTCATTACAAACTGTTTAATCCTAGCAGGGATGAGAATCTTGCATGAGACACTACATTCCCTCAGCTCCCAACGCACTCCCAGTGACTTCATAATACCCATGGGCACCGATACACGTGCCCGACACCTGCTCCAACACCTTCTAATTAGAATGCATTGGAGCAGATGCAATCAAACAGCCAGCAGACTCGGCATCACCTGCACTCTCCAGAAGCCCCAGTGTCACATGTATTCAGCATCCCTATGCTTCAACGTGGCCTTGGGGGTGCTTTAATTAAAGCTCATTAAACAAGCTTTAGTTAAAGTGCCCCCACCACCATTCTGAAGCATGGGATGCTGAATAAACAAGAAGCTGCAGGTGCTTTAATTAGAGCAATTCCTGAGAGCTGCTCTAATTAAAGTACTCCCCCCTCACCCCCACACCCCAGAGCACATGTAAAGCACTGAGTATTCTGACAGTGGTGAAGGAGATGGTTTAATAGGGACTCAGTGAGTTCACCACTGCGAGTATACATTTGAGGCTGTTGCAGTGGACCATTCCTAATTACTGAGGACAACCTTTGTTATCTTGGCAACAAGATCATGGTAACACTACAATTTGACAGATGCAGAATAGATTTTCTTTAAAAAGAAGTCCTTCTGGTTGCCAACAGAATACATCCATTTGCTTTGTTCATGCCCTAAAATAGCCTAGAGACCACTAGCTACCTCTGACCTACCTTCAGTGGCCCTTCAGTTTCATCAGCTGCACATTCAAGCCGCTTTTTGGCTATGTCTAGGGCACGAGTCTCTGTCAGCAGACGTTGAAGCTCATAGATCAGCTCGGACCTCCAGAATTCAATGTCAGAGAGCCTCTGTCCCATGTTTGTTCCAGTGTCATCCTGCATTTGCTGGGTCAGCTGGTCCTTGTCTTGCATTAGTCGTAGAGAATCTGCATTCAACCTGCCAGCCCAGTGCCGGCAACACTCCGATCCTTTGAATTGAACCTGGTTTGCCTGGTTCCAGTCACGGGGACTATAACGAGCATAAAGGGCAGTTCGCAAGGAGGGCAGTATAGTGGGTGGCCTCAGTGAGACATTGCCTCGCTCATCAGAGCTGGGAATGGTTGAAGACACTTTGTAAAACAGACTAGGTCTCCATGAGTTAAGGTAGCGATAACCTGGCAGGTAGTAAGTCTGGTAACTGTCCTGCATGGTGCTCGTAGGGACTGGTTCAGGGAACAGACAGCTCTTCTTAGGGCCACAGTAACTGGCTGTCTGAGAAGTCCCTAAAAACTCCATCTTGCACCTTACCTCAGGCACTGCATTTAAGCTACAAAGCAAGGTCAGTCTGGCTGCAGTCAGAGGAAGAGCTGTCTCTTCTGGCTGGTGTTGCCTTGATTACAGCGGATTCTTTATTCTCTATGACTCAGTGATGTTGTCACAAAGCCTGCTGTGAAGACACTGTTTTACAATGGACCCTGACGAACACTCAGCTGCCTGGAGAGAATAAAGAAATAAACCTGCACTCAGGGAGCTGGGCAGTTTGAAAGATGTCAAGGTATTAACTGCACAAGCACCAGCGTACTCAGACATCTGGGTACATCTAGATCGCACCATGTACATTTTGGGTTTGTCTTCACTGCTAAAAATAGCCACAGTTTTTACCTTGAGGTAACTTCCATGTGTCAGCTATCCCAATGGAAAAACACAATGAAGGCAGAGCATGTTTTTCTTAATGCAAGATCAGGAAAAAGTTTTAATGAACTAACCAAGATTAACCCAGATGAGGTTATAAAATTGACCTCAGTGAGATACCTTGAGGTAAGGTGGAAGGCCAAAATCCCATTTCACCGTCACAGCCCGGAGTGGCGCATAGCCACACAACTGCAATTTCAGCACTTACTGCAGATTTCAGATTCTGTTCCCATTTGTGCAGCTGTGCTCACCCTGCTCTTCCTTTCAGAGAGTGCTCAGACACCTGCACTGTAGCTGCACTGGCTCCAGGGAGGAACAGGATTGTCTGGATGTGTGTGTAATTCTCCAAAAGTCAGAGGAAGAAAACATGACTAGCAGCTGTTTGCAACCAGGGGCCCTACAACTTTTTAATCCACTGGTTAGGGCACTCGCCCCAGCAGTGAGACCCAAGTTCAGTGTCCTCCTCCCACCCCTAGTAGTCTGAACCTGCATTTCCTTTTTCCCCAGCAAAGTGCCCTAGCTGCCTGGCCATGGTCTAGGTCAGTGGTTCTCAACCTTTTTGGACTCATGGCACCCCTGGTTAGACTCAAGCAATTCCTTGGAATATGCCAGCTCTTTGTTTTCACTGGGTTTTTTTTAACTACAGAAAAATAATAGAGCAATTCTTCTGTTGCAGAGAACTTGGACCCCAAAAAGTCAGAAAGGTTTGAACACTATGGATTCCCATTTGAAATCTCTGGGTTTATTTTGTAAATCATGTTTGCACACCTAACAGTGCTAACATTGCATAGCACATGTGGTAGACTTGAAGGACTCTCAAGGCAACCCAAGGTGCCCTAGCTTCCTGGTTGAGAATCTAGGTACTGCCCAGCATGCCCTCCAGCTCACCTTTTGAAGCTGCCTCACAGGGCAGCCCAGAGAGAATGATATGTGGGGCGAGGAAAGTAACACGCTGGAGAGATGATGGCTCAGTGAAAAATGCGTGCTGCCTTGGCAGACAGGAGGTCTGGGCCCTGGCTCCAAGCCCTCAGTGATAAACTATCCCAGTGCTGTTCATCCATTTTATCCAATGATTAAATACAAAGAGCAGAAAAGTCACTGGTGGCAGAGGCTGGAATGAGAACCCAGAGGGTCTCCCTTCCAGGATAGTGTAAGGGTAAAATGAGATTTCACTCTTAGAGTCTTGTCCACCCAGTCGTCTTTTTCTCCCACAGGATAACTGATGGGAATGAGTTACTCTGAGGGAAAAAAATGCAGCTTTTTTAGCAGCGAAGAGAAACTCTTTAAAATGTAATGCAGCATTTGAAATAACCCCCTAGGGTTGACTTGACTGAAAGACTTGGCCAAACATGAATAGAGCAAAGTCCATTAAAAACTGAGGGCTTTGCCTCTGTGTTCAGAGATGTCTTGTTAAGGTCTTTCTCATCCCTTCTTTTGAATTCTCCTGTTTCTTCCCAGTTATAAACACTGAGGAACATCCCAGAGAGGAAATGTATTTTGCCCTTTCCCCCTTAACTTTTTGTCATATGGCTCTGGATTGTTATGGCTGTTTTTTTGTCCTTAGGCCTGGTCTACATGCAGTTTGTTTTGTCACGATAGCTATTTTTAATAAGTATATTATTTTTTAACAAAAATGCTGCATCAGAAGAAGCCCCAGTATGCATGCAGTTATAAGAGCTTAAAGGAATAAAGCTTAATTTCTTCTCATACAAAAATAAGCTATACCAATATAAGCTCTTTCGTAGCAGAACAGTTGCATCCACATTAGGTGGCTGTAACATTTAAATATAAAGCTAGTGTAAAAGCTGTATAACTTTTTTCTGTGGAACAAGCATGATCTGTATAAGTTAATGAGATCCAAGTGATGTGTGCTTATTTTGGAAAATGCTAGCAATTCATTAAGATTTTTTCTTAATAAACATTAAGAGTAGTTCAGGATTATTTAACATACATTGTAAATAATACCAAGAAAAATAATGAGCAACTCAAGAAACTAAATATATCTGGTCCACCGGAAAACGAACTTGTCTAACAAAATCATTGGAAGGCTTCTGTTATCTGCCAGCTGCAGGAAATGTGTCTTGAAACCTTATGCAAAATATTGCATTGTCATGGTACTAATCAGAGGACACACAACTTCTTATGCATCAAACTTGCTTTTTCAAAGAGAAGGGGATAATACACTATTTTTAGTGAGTCAGTGTTATGTGCCAACTAGTATAGTTTCACCATTCCTCACTAGGCAGAGGAGCTCAATAATTTGAGTGTGTTTGCCCCCTTGTGGCTGACCCACCAAATTTAAAAGCTGTCCAAGTCACTTGCTTTATGTGTTAAGTAGGGTGGGTATGATCGAGCTACAAGTAGCTTCCTAGAACTGTTTCTTTTTTCCCTGCTTCTTCAATAAGACCCCTTTTAACACGAGTGTTAATAGTTTAAGAAATATGCTATACTATGATACGCTAAGGGTAATTCTCATTTTGTTCATCTGCTGAAGAACTATATCGAATCTATTCCCTGTGCTGTACATACACAGTTCAGCTGGCAACGGTACTGCTTATTGATTTCAGTGAGATTACTCATGTGAGTAATAGCCTTTGAATGGTCAGTATGCATCCGCAGCAATTCCAGTATTCAGAAGTTTTACCTCCCTTCCTTGGAGAAAATTTCATGAAAAGTAACTTTGGTAAAGCACTGTTTTAGTTATTTGTATCTGTGCATACAGTTAGTTGTCACAACCAACGCATAGGAATTAAGGGGAAAAATAAATAAAAGTCAAGTTCACAGTAAATGACATGTATATCCCTAGGGTACAAGCCAAAAAGAAATTACAGTATAAAAAGCAAGAGAGTAGTGACAGAACACCTCAGTACAGATGGGTACTCACAGAGGAGCCAGTCTTAGTAAGACTAAATGACAGAAATGCTTGAGCGTTCCCTTCATGTTCCAGTACCATCTTCTTGGAACGGGCTTTTCACCAGTGTTTACAGGGCTACTAAGGGCAACCAAATAGAATGTGAGGCAGAGCCTTTCACATTCCTATTTCCTAATTTGTCACAGATATAAATAATTTTTTAACGGCCTGACTTGAAACCACTGTTTCAAACATACTTACCTGGCAGGGGAGACACCATGACCAAGCAGGTGGTGCCAGGCTCCTCCTACCCCTCCTCTGCCAATTGAGGCAATTGAGATGCGGTTAAGTGGGTGAGCAGGCGGCGGTTGAGCAGGCAGCATGGAGTAGTGAATCAACCAGCCATGATTAATAGTTCTGTGAGTGCTTTGGAGGACACGGTAAAAGTGTGTCAAGATGGAGCTAGTCACCCAGGTGGGACAATCATAAAGACAGCAACTGGGGAGTGCGTAAAGAGAGCTATGAAGGAAGAAGGGTAATGGCAAATGGTTAGCTGGCGTAACAAGTTGGAGACTGGGGCAATAGGGAAGAAGAAGCAGAATGAATCCAAGAAGATAGAAGGGAATAGAAAGAGCAAGAGTCGTCGGGGAGATAGAGCGAAGCTGGAGTGAGCAAGCAGTGGATGAAGGGAAAGAGCAAGAGTATGAGAAGACTATATATAAATTGTGGGAGAAGAATGACCCCAGGAGAACTGTTAAATTGTGGGTGAAAGCGACGTCGATGAGTGGAAGCAGTTAGAGGGTATCTACTATGTCATGAGCAGATTTTATGGCCAAGGTGCTGTTTAATTACTTAAAAGTAGGCTCGAAGGATCTTAGCTGTCGTGGCCTCTGGTAATTTCAAACATTGGAACATTACTTTTTAGAAGCATGATGCCTACGAGGCGTTTTGGGACCATTATAAGGAGGTGGTGGTTAGAGATGACCTCCGTGGTTTAAGACTTGAAATTGGTCAAAAAGCAC